GCTTTCTGCGTGCGAGGATTGGTTGAGAATCCCTCACAACGCCGCCTCAGCTTTCTGGCGGTAGCTGGATGCTCAGCATCACATGTGCCAGCACACCGTCGGCAGCAGTAGGTGCCCTTTTCGAGGAATACGTCGTGACCAAGTCCAGCGTATGTAGCCAGTAGGTCTGGATCCCCTGACTGTGCATCCTCTGGTCGCGCACCTTGGGTGCAGAGAGTCTGGCTCTCTGTCACCCCTTCGTCCTGGCGCTCCAGTAGGCCCAGTACCATGGCGATGCGTTGGTCGCCCGCAGGTCGCCATTGTAGCCTGGACTGTCGGGAGTGAGCCGCCGCCATGGCCTTCCCGAGGGCAGTGGGACAGCACCGCCTCAGTGACCCAGAACGCAGCGTCGCCAGGGACGCCTTTGTACTTGCCGACGCGTTACACGTACGGCAGCGGAGCTGGCCGCTGCTCGTGCAGACCATGAAGTCGTGATCATCTGGGCGACCGAAAACCACAGGTACATCATGGTGTGCAAGCGGCCTTAGTAGGTCTCAATGTACCCCATAGCGCCTGTACCTCACCACCCTGAGGCATGCATATGGCAAGTATTGTAGAACCTGCCGATGTTGCTCCATGGCCTGGGTGAACGATTCAGCGAACACGTGCGCCACAGTATGTTGCGCAGCACCGAGCCTTGCGAAAAAATCCGCCCAGGCATTGCCAAGCCAGTCCTGGACGTCCTGCGCCGAGGCCCCTTCCAGAAGCTGCCCCGCATCACGGTGTGCAGGGGTCCATCGGAATGCAGGAGTGGACCTGCATGTCCGTTTCACTGCAGCACCAAACATGCCCCGCCACACCCGTGCGTGCTTATTTCTCCCCATAGCAAAGGTCGGGTCCCAGGTGTTCCCTTCACCCACAAGGGATTTTTAAGTCTGTAGCAATCACGGCATGATCAGGGTGTGCCTCCAAACCCATTTTGATGGCATACCTGTCGGCACGTCCAACCGTTTGCACCAGGTAAGGTAGCGGGCCATAGACGGCCCGACATGGTAACCAGGTGCGCGGGTCGAGCTGCACGACCGCCTGGCCACATCGTCGGACCTCAGGCAGGCTGGATTCATAGCCTGACCCGTCAGTGTATGAGATGGGCCCCCATGTCCCATCGCAGTCACCCCACCTGTGCACCGTGCTCCCAATGGTGCCGTGGTGTGGTATTCCAGCTGGGGCTGAGGTGCACCAAACACCAGGTAGGTTTGGTCGTAGCCTGCTTGAACACCAGCAGATGCACCACGTCGCAGGTGCTCACGTACCTCAAGTAGGGTATCTGGGATGGTAAAAGAAACTGTCAGACTGCGTCAGCAGTCTGGCTGCCAACCGCCCTCGGTTCATCACTGTCACTCCGCTCCGCAGGTTCCCTCGCCCCTGTCGGCTGAAAGTCAGTGGAGGGCGGATGTTGGTCGTGGTCGAGCTCCTCACCGACATCCATCGTAACAGCCATCTCCACCTCTTCCCCGACCGCTGGGAAGACATCGTCCTCGTCAGCGGCCCGATGCTGCCAGGGAGTTTGGCAGTGGTCCTTTGGATCCACAGACGGAGGAGCAGGGGGGAAATTGCGTACAACACCACTCATTTGTACTGAATTTCCCCCGTCTTCTCTGGCGCGGTGGGTTGGTGGCGTAGTATTGTTGCCAGCAGAAGGTAACCTGTCAGTAATCTGCGCCAGGCTGGTCGACGTCACTCCAGCCACAGGTGTACCGAAGGTGGGCTGCCTCCTTCCTTGGATTTTTGCATCCGCGTGCCCTGCTTGGGGTGGACCAGTCTGGTGGTCTATCCCCAGCGGCTCTGGATCCCCCGCCTCTTGCGAAACGGGATTCAATCACACTGTCCTCCTGGGTATTGTCCGAGAGGAACAGGCCTGGGCAATCTAGCAGTACATGTCCCCAGCATGTGTCCTGATGCAGCTGCTTCCCACACGCCTGACAGGGGCGCATGGGGCGGCCCAGTTTCTGATCACGTCGGATGGGTACAGGAATTATCCGCCCAGTGGGCCTGGGGGGCTCCAAGGCCTCGGGGCCCACGCATGCCCATGATAGCGTAACGTAGTCCACGATGCCAGATTCGCGCGCCATCATTGGTCGGCTAGTGTCGTTTTAGTCGCTCGTGCTGCCATCTCTGCACTCCTTGTTCAAGGAACGGGCGCAGATCAGCAGGACATACCTGCAGCAGGTCAAACCTGCCACCTAGCTCACTAATAACGACATGTATGTGACATACGTCCCATCCAATCCGTCGTAAGGTGAGTATAATGGCGCTGAGGGGGCCACGCGAGTGACACCATCCCAAGTGCTCCCCATGAGTCCTCTGCAGCGCATTCCATGCGTGCCATAGCCGACTGGGGGAGCAACGCCCATCCCATATCCAGCCCGCATATCGTAACACAAGGTCCATGGTGGCTGCATAGATGGGATCATAGAGCGCCGACTTGTGGGTCAGCAGGTAGCTAGTGACACCCGCCTGAGACGTCCCAGGAGCTCCGTTGAGCACCGCCGACAAATTGCGAAGCTCTCTGAGGCGTATGTCCGTCCACCCTGAAACGCCGGCGCCGTGGGCGACGGAGGGACTGGCCCCCGTTCGCCAGAGGGTGGCTGTTCGCCTACCCACTGCTCGTCACAGCACCAGAAAACGGTGGCGCCGTCCGTGCAGCTGATGGATCCGCTGCTTCTCCACCGTTCGTCGAATCCCTGGCCCATGAAGTTCATGTCTCAGGTTTTGCATGTGGGCTGCTCGTGGGAATCGTCGTAGGTGATGGGCCTCAGCACTAGGTCTCCCTCGAGCACGTCCTCCGCTTGCTCTCAGTATCTGGTCGAGGGCCTGTCGCGTCCGAGTGGAACCAGCCACCAAAGCCGACTTTTTGGGCTGGAGGACGAGTCCCAGCAAGGCCGCACGATCGGCAAAGTGGGTCGCGGCCTTCCACAGCTGTGGCAGCTGTGATGCATCTGGGCTCACTAGCTGTAGTCCTACATCATCCACCAGCGCTCGTGGACGTACCATTGGGCAAATCTCCTTGGTGCGCTGGGCGGTGCAGTACAAGAGCAGGTAAATAGTAAGTATGCGGCGTGCGTGCAACCCGCAATAATGCCCTGGTTGGCCGAGAAAGCCTGGAATAGCTCCCATATGCCTTAATGCGCTTCGGCTGGCGGTATAGCTCCAGAAGCATCCAGAGTAGACGAAGCGGGTCGCCGAGCGCCCTGGCTTCCTCCAGGAGTGCCTGTGGCCTGACCATCTCAAACCTTTTGGACATGTCTAGGAGAATGGTGGCGGTGTGCTCGCCTACCAGATCGCCCACCTCTTGTTCGAGGTTATGCGGGAATGCGGAGTCGGAGGAGGTCTGGCCTCCTCTCGTTCTCCACATCTCTTCACAATGATGTGCACATTGCCACTCCGCGGACAGCTGCTGGCGCGCTTTGGCCCAAATTCGGACCAGAGTCGCTCCCAGCGCAATGAGTCGATATTCTCTGTCAGGCTTTGGGAGTCGAACGAGTTCGCTTATCACTCGGTCTGTGGGCCAGGCCAGGTGAAGTTCAAACAGCCCAAGCATAGCTCTTCGTCACTGAGGAGTTCCAGTAGCACTGGGGGTAGCCGGCTAGATCCCACAGCCGTGCGGGCCGAACACGTACGGATGGCCGCACGGAGCTCTTGGGCTCTTAAAGGTGGTAGTGGGTCCCATTCATTGGCGGGGGAGGGCTTCTGGAACGCTCTCTCCCCGTGTGTGGTCCATATGCCCACCCAATGATCCAGCATCCCATTCGTCAACTCATGTGGTTGTGCCCCACCAGCGGCCTCAAGTATTTCTTGAGCGGCACGTACTTTGGTGGTTGCATGGGCCTGTCGGGCTCCACCCAAACAGGCATTGTGTGCCCATTGTAGCCAGGCCCCTTGGATCTGCGCCTGCGCCTTCTGCACGACTTGATCCGCATGTCATCAAAATGCGGGTCGGCGAATCTTTGCAGCCCATTACAGAAGAACTGGCGCTGGTAGGCATCCAGCTTGGCCATTCTATCGCCTTTCTTGGTGATTTTGGTGCAGAACTTGCTGATCGCCACGTGGGCCAGCTGCAGCTTCCGCTGTTGGGCAGGATGAGGGCCTCCAATGGCCTGCACGGCCCTCAGGCGCTCCTCATACCGCCACATGCGATCACGCTCATGGCGAAAGTGTAGTGCCCATCGCCGTGCCGTAAACCAATCATGAGCGTTGTCGTCAAGCATCGCACGGCGATGCGGGGGTCGCCATTCCACCTTCTTCCATCGAAATTGAGGAGGACCATGTCGCCCCACAAATGGTGTAGCCTTAGCCCCAACCTTATCATGTCGACCCGCTAGCTCATAGTCAATACCCTGTAAAACCACATCCTATAATACTTGTAGACTGGTAAGGGAATGTGGATGAGTGGCGTCACAACTGCCAGAACTAGCCTCGGCATAATCGGACGGTGGGGGAAGGCTCTGGGTCTCCCTCCCGCCGTCCGACGTCACTGCGGCCTCCGCGACATGGGTAAAGTATGGTTCCAATCGTCTCCACGGATACGGATACCGCGCACACCCAGCGGGGGGCTGCGCCGACAACGGCCTCGGCTCATCAGGCACCAGACACCACAGGGGTTTATCTTGGCCCTGGATAGTGAGGCGCACTGGGAAGTGAGGTGGTGGGGTCGCTCTCGTGTTTAACTTGATCACAGGCTTGTCGTGAATCCTAGGAGCAAGGTTGCTCGCCACGACAAAGTAGTCAATCGTAGAACTGCCTGTATCGGTGACACAGGTGTAGCCGTGAGGTACCAACGTGATGCCTGCAAGCGCCTGCACCCACCCGCGTACATTGACAGACTCCACGTCCGAGCTCCAATCTCCACCACGGACCCAGTCGAGCCCCAGCGTATTCCATTCCGCAACACACTGAGCCAGCGCCCAGAGGATGGAAAGGTTCTCGCCGGTCACCCCAATGCCCTGCACGAGGTAGACGCTGACGAACATGATGCCACCACGCGCCCAGGATAAACTATATGGGTAGTTGTCCCAGGCGGAGCAGTGATACCTACCCACGTAGGAACCAACATGCAGACCCTGCTGGCGTTGGACGTGGCATGGCTCCCCGAAGTGGGAAGAGCAGGAGCCCAGAGTCCATGCCAGCCCGCACCAGCGGCTTGCGCCAGTACAGTGCCCAGTCGGTGCTCCTGCACAAGAGTCTCCTGCCCAAGTACTACAATACCACGGTATTGTGTAAGGTAAGACACCATTGGGCCATGGGACCCAGGATTGACTGTAGTAACATGTCGTGTGTGGCATCGGGATGGACCCTCAACTGGGGGACCCAACTCCTCAGCACGTCCCTCTGGTGGATGGGTGACTGGGTCTGCGAGTACCTCATTCTCGGCGTGGCCAGTCTGGCTGTCCATCGCACTGGTACCTTGAGTCGGCGCATTGTGCACCTCTGCGTGGGCAGCCTGGCTGTCCATCGCAACGTCGTCTCGACCTGGATCAGTGTGCACCTGAGCATGGTCAGCCTGGCTGTCCATCTCCATGTGGCCCTGGCCCTCCGAGATCGGGACGTCCTCCTCGGGTAGGCGAATGTTCGCCTGCCGTGGAGAGCGCGAGCGTGCTGCACGGGAGGTCGTAGAACTCGCAGCATTGGGCAGCTGCCCCTGTGGGCTACTAGCCTGTCCTTATAGGTGTAGATCCTGTTGTGGTAGACGACGCAGGCGATGGATCTTACGAGGAGGAAGGTCAGCATCCGCAGCACGATCCAAGGTGGACACCATCCCTCGGGCATCACCAGGTTCGGCACAACATTGCGTATCAAAGCTCCCAGGCTCATAACTTCGCATCCCCTGACCGTCAGCAGTCTGGCTGCTCATCGGCCCCCAGTCTTGCTCAGCCATGTCAGTCGGCATCGTGGCTACCGTCACGAAGCGCAGAGCCATGAGGAGCAGCAAGAGGAAGGGGGTGAGGCGCGGCCTAGGCCTGCAGAAACCTTCTTGGCCCGAAGTGGGAGGAGCGCCTCGTCCACTCGCTTGAGGGCGGTGCGCATTTCGACGTCCGTCGCCTCTGGTGGTGGCGTATTGCCACACGCCGTGAGCGCCACGCGCATCTGCTCCGACGTGAGTTCATCAACCTCCATCTTCGTAGGCTCCGAATCCTCCATCGAGGATGCTTCACCAGGGAGTGGTGGCTCCTCAGCAGCCGGCGGTGGTGGCGGGGCAGCCTCGCGGACCTTGGCCACCATCGCCGTGAAGGTTGTCGAAACCTTCTGAAGCTCCTCCAGCATCGCCGCGTCAACGCCCAGCATCGCGGCCTTGGCCCCAAGCTCCTGGACGCTGAGCTCCAGCCTCGGGATGACGTCCGTGAGGTTGGGCTTGCCTTCAGAATCAGGAGGGGCCGAGGCTGGCGCCAGTTTGTCAAACTCGGCCTCCAAGCGGTTGACTTCAGCCTCGGCTGCCGCAGCAGCCGCCTGGGTCGTGTCCCGCTTCTCCTGGAGCTCGCGGACCTGCTGGTCCTGCTTGGCGAGGTCAGCACCGAGCTTCGTCGCCTTGGCACGAGCTGCTCGGACCTTCCCGCCCAGCGAGTTGACGCGGTCCTCCAGGGGCCTGCCCGCGAAGATCTCCACTTCCAGCCTCTCCTTCTCGGCCTCCAGGGTGGCGGCGTAGGTCTGGTCGGCCTCCACCTTGGATCCTTGGAATGCTTTGAGAAGCTCGGAGATCAGTTTGATGCGTGCCTTCTTTTTGTCAACGTCCCCCGAAGGCACGCTAGTCTGGCTTGCGCTACCCTCGGAGGATCCTTGCCACGGGGGAGGAGCGTCTGGCGCATCCTTCCCCCCCTTGTGGGTTAAGGCCTCCACCACCTTTTTGTAGCCGTAGTACTTGTGCACGCAACACCACCAGCTGCTTCTGGACGTCCGACGACGGTGGAGTCCTGCCCGTCGAGCCCGCCGAACTGGTCGACGGTGCCGCAGGCGTCTTGGGGTCGCCGTAGGTGACCCCCCTGTGGAGCTGGCACTTGGTGCAATACATCTTAACGCCCTTGTTCTGCCACTTGCTTCCGTCCCTGGCGACGCAGGTCTTGCAGAGCCAGGCAGCAGCAGGAGCGCGGTTCCAGGAGGCGGGAGCCATCGCGGCGGCCGCACCCAAGACGTGGTTTCGCCGAAGGTCCCAGGGAACGCCACCCCAGGAACCCAGGCAAGCCGACTGGCTCGTGAACGGGAAAGAAAACCCTTCCCAATGTTTCCCGCCCACAGGGCCGAGGTTCGGGCCAGAAAGGGCCACGGATGAGGAGGAGGAGGATGATGATGAGGAGGAGGAGGAGCAGGAGGAGGAGGAGGAGGAGGAGGAGGAGGAGGAGAAGAGGAGAGGGAGGAGGGAGGAGGGAGGAGAGGGAGGAGGAGGAGGAGGAGGAGGAGGAGAGGAGGAGGAGGAGGAGGAGGAGGAGGAGGAGGAGGAGGACCTCCCTCCTCCCCTTGTTCCCTCCCTCCAGTCCTACTTCTGGTAGCGGCGGGGGAGACTTGCCCCATCAGGCGCTCCTCGCCGCCCTGGCGGCGCTCCTCGGCCGCCAGGCCGCCTTCGCCGGGGCCTCCGCGCGCGGCGCAGCCGCCGCGGGGGCCGCGCGCGCGGCAGGGGCCGCCGCGCTGCCACTGGGCGCGGAGGATGGGCTGCGTGCCCTGGGGGGGGGGGGCAGCTCGGGCAGTTCGGGGTCACCTCCTCCTGCTCAGCCTGCTCCTCCTCCTCCTCCTCCTCCTCCTGCTCCTGCTCCTCCTCCTCCTCCTTCTGCTCCTCCTCCCCCTCCAGGGGTCAGCCAGAGCGCCCTCGGGGGGGGAGGGCAGTGCGGGCAGCTCGGGAGACTTTCGCGAGCGGCCACGAGGGGGGTGATGACTAGGGGTGTTGTGGACATCGTGGCGGGGGGGGGGTTGTGGACATCGTGGCGGGGGCCATGATATCTCCCCAGATTTCATGGCGCCTCTTCTAATTTCAATGCGTTCCCTGCCCCCCCCCCTTGGTCCGTGCACGTGCCTCGGGCCGTGATTTGCACCTCCCCTCTTGGACGCCCCCCTCTTGGACGCCCCGTCTTGGACGCCCCCCCTCTTAGAAGCGGGGTCAGCCAGAGCGCCAGACCTTGCAGGATCCTGCATCGCCAGGGCTGCACTGACCTGGGACTGCGTACAGGATCCCGCAGGATCCTGCAACGCCTGACTGGTTCGGGTTTGTATTGACCCAGATCAGTGCGTCCCCGAATAGTTCGGGTTCGAGTCTCGAGGTTTTCCGACGTCTTGGTCGATCCTCGACGGTTTCCCGGCCTCGCGGTGCACTCCGACAGCTGCGCCTCGCCGAGAGCTTTCTGGCGGTATCCTTCTCGTCCCGAGCGGCCGCTGGAGGCCCGAGTGATGGCCCTCCCAAACCACCATCGGAGGTGGGTGGCCCTCTCAGAAGGCTCGGAAGGCCTCTGGCCTTCCGAGAAGCTCTCTGGGCCTTCTTCGCAGCCACAGGTTGCCATTGAATCGGGCACGTTCTTCCACAGGAGGAGTATTCAAAGATAGTCCCAACATAGTCTGGGGACGATTTGTTGAATATGTTTTGTGTGACAACTTGTGAATAGTTAGGAATAGTTTAACTCATCCTCCAAAATCCGCCTGTAGGGGGGACATGCCCGACCTGAGGTTACCAGCCTGAAGCGCATCCCCATCCCTATGATGGGCATCACCTTATCTCGATACCGATCTTAAGGTTTACCTCAGTTTTCCAGGACGCATCCCTGCGCTTGTCGTCGCCTGTGGCGTGCCGATGTTTAGGAATAGGGATCAGTTCGAGGATGGTTGGCAGGGGGCCTCTTGGAAGTCTGGAGGGCTTCTGAGAAGCTTCGCGGCCTTCTGGGAAGGCCTGCCCCCTCTCACATCCCCCTTCGGCGCACCGCTGAGAGGAGCTGGCGGCGGCCATCCCCGACGCCTCCTCCGTGATGGTGGCCGACGCCAGCGAGGTTCGACCTCGCGTAAGATCTCCGACGATCAGATCTTTGTTTGCATCTGGGCGTTTTTGCCTCGATGTCGTCCTCGGGGGCCAGTTACTGGGCCCCGGGGCCACCAAGCATGGAGGCGGGGCGACAAACTATCCCCAGGGAAGCTGTCGGGAGTTCTGCAGCCGCGGTCTGAACAATTCCTATCGGCGGATGTCAGGGTTCGACTGCGCGTAAGAGCGACCCGTCGCAGCAGAGTGACCCTTGGCGCGGGCCCCCTGGGGGCCCCCGATCGCCGTGTGCGGTGCCGAAGCAGCGGCTTGCGCTCACTGGTTCGATCCCGCCCCTCCCGCGCGCCCACTGAAGCCGCGCACCGAAGGCCACTCTTGCCTGGGACCGCTTCGATCCGATCGATCCGATTCGATACCAATTCTGCACTAGGGGGGCGAACAATGCCATAAACATAACCACTCGGAGGTCCGCGCGGATTTCTCGGATCGGCGCTGGACCCCCCCTCCCTGGCGCGCGGAGCGCGCCAGGCGCGGCGCTGGAGGCGCTGCCAGGGGGGTCCAGCGCCTATCCGAAAGATCCGTGCGGACCTCCGAGTTGTTGTGTTCATGTCATTGTTCGTTCCCCAGTGACCGGCCCGATCCCATTCGATGCCGACTTTCCGACGATCCGATGCGGCCCGATGCCTGCCTGGCTCCTTGCTGGGCAGCCTGGCGCAGCCGAGCCGAGTACTGGCACCCGATCCGACGCACACACCTCGATCCGATCCGAGTTTTCCCGCCTCGATGCCGGCGGAGCCCGTTCCTGCGCGTGGCCGGGAGGTGATCCCGCTCCTGTCGTTCATCTCCTCCATCTTCCTGGGCATCACGGGCTACTCGATCTACACGGCCTTCGGGCCGCCGTCCGAGGACCTGCGCGACCCGTTCGAGGAGCACGACGACTGAGTGCGGTCGGGGTGCCCCCCTCTCGCGAGGGCCGGCGGCTGGACTCCCGAGTGGAGTGAGGGGGGGGGGTCTGAGGAGGGAAGGGGGATGATGATGACGACGATGATGGTGATGATGCTGCTGCTGCTGATGATGCTGAGGAGGATGAGGTTGCTGATGCTGCTGCCGCTGATTCTTGTTATGATGATGCTGATGATGCTGATGAGGGTGGCGATGTTGGTGATGGTGGTGGTGACGCTGGCGGTGATGCTGCCGCTGTTAATGATGATGATGATGATGATGATGATGATGATGATGATGATGGTGGTGGTGACGATGGTGCTGCTGATGATGACGACGACGTTGTTGTTGTAGTTGTCGTGGTTGTTGTTGTCGTTGTTGTTATTGTTGCTGCTGTTGTTGTGGTTGTTGTTGTTGGTTGTGGTGTTGTTGTTGGCGGTGGTGGTGGTGGTGGTGATGGTGGTGGTGGTGATGATGATGCTGATGATGATAATGGTGATGATGACGATGACGGTGTTGACCATGCCAATGCTGCTGCTGATGATGATTTTGATGATGATGATGATCATGATGATGATGATGATGATGATGATGATGATGATGATGATGATGATGATGATGATGATGATGATGATGATGATGATGATGATGTGGATGAGGAGGAGGTGGAGGGGACGATTATGATATGTTGCTGCTGCTGATAATGATGATGAGGAGGAGGCTGAGGAGGGGGAGGAGGAGGAGGAGGAGGAGGAGGAGGAGGAGGAGGAGGAGGCGGAGGACGAGGAGAAGGAGGAGTTGGAGGAGGAGGAGAAGGAGAAGGACAAGAGTAAACCCAAGACTCATCAACGATGTAGGAATAATCCCTCCCCCAAGCTCCCTCTTTATAGGCCTTCACGAGGATTCACTTGCACTGAGGCCTCGGGTGCGACAGGGAGGGGTCATCTATAAAGGAATGGAGGATCAGACTGCGACAAGTACGCTTATGTCTGCACCCCTCGGCCGCGACCCCATGGAAGCAGGCCAGCTCCGCGCGGGTGTCCCGACGGTGGATCGTATCCGACCGCGCCGCCGTGGGATTGCGCATCCAGTGCCCGGACCGCGAGGGCATGCTGCCTGTGGGCGTTTTCGTCGCTCGTGACCCAGACACCCCCCGAGTCATGAAACATCGCGGCAGAAGGTTTTTCGCTAGGTTCGGCCTCGAGGGCAGCAAGTGGGCGCCACCCAACAACGGTGCGGGGCAACCCGCTGCATCGAGCGACGCTGCCGAGAAGAGTATGACGTCTTTACTTCGAGCAGTGGTTCAGGGGCCCATGGCACGGGCGTTGGGACACCCCTTTCGTTTGAAAGTGAACGACGGGGGCAGGCGCGTGCCACGGCCACTCGCGCTTGCCCAGGCAGGCCGAACACTGACATGCTGTCTTCAGGCGCGGGGGCATCTGCATACTTTTCCCAGGCGCCGGCTGTGCGCGCCAGGGACAGCGGCGGACCCGGCTGTGCGGCTGCCGCAGAAATAGGACGCTCATCTCATCATTGTCACTCTCGTGCCCTTGTCATTGAGGATCTACGAACAGCTTGCTCTGAACTCCGAGCTCGAGGATACATGTGTGACCGTATTACACGCAGAGGTTATGACCTCTACTGGTACACAGTACTTTGGTGGTTTACTACCAGGGGATTACCAAGTACTGTGGGTGGCAACGCCCGCTGGCTGGCATGTACGATTGCCTGCAAAGCGCGCGGGGCCACATTGCCAACGTATCCAAAATCTTATGATCAAAGCTCGGGCTTTACGTATGTCTATTCTACTTGTGGGACCTCCGGGATACTTCTGGAAATTAGGTCCCATACGCGATACTATCGAAGATTTAGGCCTGCAGAGCATGCGAATTCGATGTTGAAATTTCGGTCTGAAGTTCGACCGTCTGGGTCGTTTGCCGAGCGGTTCGTGCTTGCAGGTGGCAACCACCTACGCGCGCATCCCCGCCAATCTGTGGAGATTCAGATGCCAAGCTGCGGGGGAACCTGCGCGACGCGCAGAGCATGAGTTAGAACGGTGCGGCCACGCCGCCCGGAGGGCGGAATGGCGAAACAAAAAATGCTATCATGACTGCGAGGCCGATTCGTCAAATAGATTATCATAAAGCACAGAGAACTCACACGAGTGCTTTACGCCTCAGCGTACGCACACGAGTGGATTAAGGAGGTCGGTCTTAGGCCCAGTCTCTTAAGAAGGGCCCTCAATGGGGCCATGTGGCACGCCGGGTGATGGTGAACCTGGAAGACAGTATTATTATTATGCAGGACATCCAGGTCCAAGATCATTTTTCTGGGCGCTCTTGCAATGCGCAATCACCAAATGGTGTGACGAACCTTCCGTGCTCGACTATACTGGGAGCCTCCGGCGCCAGTCTTGTTCGGAGGGCGGGGCAGCGACCGCGCCTAAGGCGGGTTGCGACCGTCAATGACGATCGTCTTCCCCCCCCGTCGATTGAGCGCAGCTGCGCGTATTCCCGAATTTCCGACACGTACTTCGCCCGATACTGAACAACGACAGACAGCATTACCTACCGATGCTAGGATAAATCAGAAAGAAAAGCAGAATACAGATGAAGAAGCCGGCATCAAACCACGCAAGATACCCAAGTCGACGAGCCGAAATCCTTCACATCAGTAATTTTGGGTCTCGGAGCCCACAGGGCGGTTTTTCATGTTTTCCATTCGACGTTCCATGAAGCCCGATGTCATTCCGAGGCCGCGCGTCGAACGTTTTCGATGGCGCGTCGCGTTATGCGATGTCACGTGCGTTGGGGTCGTCGAAGGCTTGCGTGCTTGTTGCGGATCGGTTCATGTGGGCCGGGGTTTCTCAGGATTGTACATTTGCTTTGCGCTGGGGCGGTTTCGGCCCCCATCCCTGGCTGATCCACCCCGCGGGTAACGTCGCAGGAAGAGTTCGATCATTTCGTTCGTAGTGCCAGCGATGCTGTCGTGGACATTGACCGCGCCACGGGGGGGGGTCGTCCAGAAATGTCCTACCATATTGCAGTGTTGGTTCTTCGTTTTGAAGAGACGCCGCCCCGCGTCATTCCTTCCGGCCCCCTCCCTCGTCTTCCCTCTTCGCGTATCTGCCCCTGCTCTCCGCGTGTCTCCGTCGTCATCGTCCATCGTCATCGTCGCCATCACCATCATCATCAGCATCATCAGCATTCTCGCCGTCTCCATCATCAATACCACCACCATCCTCATCAACATCATCAAAACACCCCCCTTGTTCCCCCGCGTCTCTGCTTCGCCACATCCCCCGCAAGTCTCGTGGCCTTGTGAGGTGCTCCACCGAAGGCCCCATCGGCAGGGTCCTTAGTGCGCCGCCCAGCCCATGTCGGCACGCCCCTCAGACGCTTCGTGTCCCCATGAGGAGCTCATCGGAGGTCCCGGCGGCAAGGTCCACATGCCGTCGCCCAGGCCACATTGATGACACCCTCAAACATTTCGTGCCCCTATAGGCAGCTCCACCAAAAAAAGGTCCCAGCGGCAGGTTTCCCAGGCCGCCGCCCAGCATATTTCGGCATACGTTTCACACGCTTCGTGGCCCCACGGGGAGCTACACCGACGGCCCCACAGGCAGGGCCCACAGGCCGCCGCCCAGCCCATTCCGTCATACGCTCACAAGCTTCGTGGCCCCATTGGGGAGCACCCCCGATGGCCCAAGCGACAGGGTCCACATGCCGTCGCCCAGCCCATGTCGCCCACGAGTGGCGCCCAGCACGGCTCCAAGAGCGCCCCAAGAGGCGCCGAGTAAGTTGCACCCTCATGCAAATAGTTGCTGTCACTTGTGGGGGTCCTCTTGGGGCCCTCTTGGAGCATTCTTGGGGCCCTCTGGGAGCGTTCTTGGGGCCTTCCCGGGGCCCCAGTGGGCCCTCGGAGGGCCCCAAGAACGTTCCCCGAGGGCCCCAAGAGGGACCCCCCAAAATGGTACAAAGAATTCGCGCGAACGTGCAATCTGTTGTAGGCCTTTCGGGGCCCTCTGGGAGCTCTCTTGGGGCCCCCATTGGTGGCGCCTTGGGGCCTTGGGATGGCTCCAAGAGGCTTCGGGATTGCCCCAGACCGCCACAAGACAGCTCCGAGACGGCCGTCGAGCACCACGGGTGAAAGCAAGTGAGGCTAGGGAACAGGGCCTCTGGTAAGCCGCCACTGCGCCCCCTGGACTACCCAGACAGCGAGGGGACCTGAAACGCCCTGGGGCTCCAGGGGCCCCAGATTAGTGAAGTGAAGGTTTTTGCCATGCAAGCACCCCGAAATTCTTCACTTCACTAAACCGGACCCAGGACGAACTCGCTACGCTCCAGTCCCGCGGGAGATCCAAGACTCCCGCCGCCGCCCGGGGACGTTGCTGCATTGCGGTGCTCTGGTCACTGTTAATGGCTTCCGCGGGCTGCAGCGGCTCACTTCCATGACTACCCCGACTCACGAATCCAGTGGTTGGTCTGGCTCTATGGGTTGGTTTCGTTGTGTCGGTTGATTTTATGCTTGGTTGGCGGTCGGTGGATTTCGCGTTGTTCATTGGTGTCGTGAAGTGATTTGTCGTTTGGTTGGTCAGTGCCGTTTTGTTGATTCGTGCCGTTTTGTTGGTTGGTGTCGTTTCGTTGGTTGGTGTCGTTTTGTTGCTTGGTGTCGTTTTGTTGCTTGGTGTCCTTTTGTTGGCCGGTGTCGATTTGTTGGTTTGTTGGTTGGTGTCGGTTTGTTGGTTGGTGTCGTTTTGTTGCTTGGCGTCGTCCTGGCGGCGTGGCCGATAATCGGCGGCCTGCAATGGCGCCAGGATTTGTTTCGGGCCAGCCTTGATCGCCCTCATCATTCTCATATTCGTCAGCGTCAGCACTCGTCGCCCCCATCCGCGCACACATGCGGCCCTGGTACGGCTCTCACGCGGCCCTGCGAAGGCCTTCACTGTGCTCCCCAAAGCTTTCTGAGGGGCCCCCCAGAGGCCCCAAGAGGGCACTGGAAATTGTCGCTTCCAACTCCGCCAGGCGGAGGTCAACAAGGGTCTCACTGGTGCACTTCCAGGAATCGTCGTTCGA